GAAACTTTAAAAGAAAGAAATTTGAGGAAGAAAATGCTGTTTTTAGCTATAGCAACCCAGGGTTTGCCCGTCAACTTACCCCTAGGCTTTTTAGACAGCCACCCGAGGGGCTCTATCCCGTAAATACTTTCAATAACTCTTCTCCACAAGGCATATTCCTCTTGTGTAAACCTCCATAACCATTTCAAAAGCAAAGCGTTATTTCGTTGCTAAAAAGCCCCAATGCCAAGGCCTCCTTTTTCTAAAGGCAGGGAAGTGGTTTCCCAATTGACCAGATTTTTGTGGGTGTGTAATCTATCACCCTTCCAAAAAAAATCTCTAACAATCTTGTCTAGGTCTTTTGCAATTCCAATCGGAGCTTTAAGAAGAGACAAATAGTATATCGGCATACTATTCAACACCGATTGAGCCAAGGTCAATCTGCCTCCTTTTGAGAGAACAAGTTTCTGCCACTTTCCTAATTTCTGCTTCAGCTTTTCCACCAAAGGTCTCCACAGGGAAGCAGCTTTAAAATTTCCTCCAAGGGGTAGACCAAGGTAAGAGAAGGGGAGGTTTTCCACTCTGCATCCTAATTTCAAGGCTTGGCAACTCAGTCTATCTTCACTAATATTGATGCCAACTATAGAGAGGTCTTATCAAGGTTCAACGGAAGACCTGAAGCTCTTAGAAACCATTAGAAACCAGTTAACTACAATCCACCATTTGTTCAAAAAACCCCTCTCATCCGGACAGAACAAGATGGTATCATCAACATATTGCAAATGGGAAATCATTACTTTTTTAGTCCCTATCTCAAAACCTTTAATCATCCTTCTCTCACAACACAAGTGAACCAACCGACTAAAAGAGTCTCCTACTAGAGTAAAGAGAAAAGGAGAAAGAGGGTCTCCTTGCCGAAGTCCTCTGGTCGCATGGATCTTGCCCCGTGGTCTACCATTAATAATAATCGAAAAGTTTGTCGTGGACAAACATCCTCTAATCCACATTCTCCGCCGAAGCCTTTCTTCTGCAACACTGCATCGAGATAGTCTCAGTCCACTTTATCATAAGCTTTTTCATAATCTAACTTGAGAAGATAACCTGTCTTGTTTGAAGATTTCCACTCGCCGACCGCGTCTGCAGCCACTAGAATGGCGTCCAGAATCTGCCTACCTTCTAAAAAGGCGGCTTGAGGGTCTGCAATGATGGAGGGAAGGACTTTTTTAAGACGATCTGCCAACACCTTTGCAATAATCTTATAAAGGGAGGAGACTGGGCTAATAGGTCTGAACTCTCCCACTTTGTTCGCTTGTAATTTCTTCGGGATTAGACAGACATAAGTCTCATTAGTACGTGCGTTAATGATACCATTCTTAAAAAACTCTTGGAACACCTTGAGAATGTCAAACTTCAAGATGTTCCAAGCTTTTTTTATAGAACTCCGCTGTCATACCATCAGGGCCTGGAGATTTTAAATTTGCCAAACTTCTAACCGCCCTAAAAATTTCTTCCTCATTGAAAGGAGATTCTATCCATTCCTGCCAATGCGAGTTCAAGGGGGACCATTCTATATCTTCAAAGATAAATCTAGTGCCATCTGCTTTAGTGTACAGATTTATAAAAAAGGCTAGAACTTCTCCTTCAATCTCACTATCTGAGGATAGGACCGTCCCGTTTCTATCAACTAGAGAACGAATTGCTGCTTTGTTTCTTTTGGCAGACACCATCTATGAAAAAAATGAGAATTCTCATCTCCCTCCCTTAACTACTGGAGTTTGCACTTTTGAGCCCACGTCTGCTGTTCCTTCAAAGTTATATCTAACATATCTGCTTTTAGGGAAATCCTCATAGAGGTTTGATCAGTATTTAGGTGTCCCCTATCTTCTTCTTTGTCTAACTCATCAATCTGATCTAAAATACTTTTCTTAGTGTCCGCGACGTTCCCAAACTCATCTTTGTTCCATTGTATTAATAAAGGTTTAAGCCTTCTCAATTTTTCCATAAAGGCGTAGCCCGGCCAGCCATCGTTTGGCAAGGAGTTCCACCAGCTATCAACATTATCTAGGAACTTGGGGTGTTCTAACCACATATTTTCGAAACGAAAAGGAGTAGGTCCCCATTTCTGCCGTCCTAAATTCAATTGTAGAGGGAAATAATCAGAGTAGGTCTTCAAATTATCTTCGAAGAGACTTAAGGCTCATTTCCTTCTAATCAGCCAAAGGATAGCTCCTCACTGTACAATTATATTCCAGAGAATCTTAGCCTTGCCTCTAAATCTCAAGCCATCAGAATTTCAACAAGCCAGTCTCCACGCTGTTTGGAAAGCAAATGGATAAACCAAATTCATTCAGAAGGAAACCCCATCCACCTGAAAAATAATAAATTTGGAGACGGTTGAGAACCGCTTGAGCCAATGTCAATATCCCTCCCTCAGAAAGAAGAAGGCCTCTCCACCCATTTAACCAACTTTGCTTTGAGTTTATCAATCAAGGGCTCCCATTATAACTAAGACCTTTGTTTTCCTCCTGGAGGCAAACCTAGATCGTGAAGGGAATGCTTTCAGCCTATAACCAAAGCGACGAGCTTTATCATTCACCTCACTGAGGTTGCTGTTCATGCCTGTCACCTTGGTTTTGGATAAATTCAGAGACAACCGATACCCTAATAGGAAAATATTCCAAATAACCTAGACTTTAATAGTAGAATTTATAATGCTGAATAGGGGTTTTATAATTTCTCCTATTTATATTTTAGCCAATTGGAGTTTATGTGCCAATTTCCTTGGTGTTTTAGATTAAAATGGATACCTCCATATCCAGTACATTTTTGGTAGTAATACGTCATTTTTTATTTAGAAAGAAAGAGAAAAAAGAATAGAGATCACGATCAAGACATTTTTATGCATTATATATACGTCCATTAGAGGCAGGACGACAGTGTTCTATGCTCTTTATTAAAACTTTTCTGCCATCCATCCATAGAACAAAGCAAAACTTAATGTTTGTTCTAAAACATAACTAATTGACTCATGTGGATGTGGGTACTCCTTGTAGGCCTCTTTTTGCAAGTAGCTTGATTAGCATTATCCAAACTCTGATGGATCAAACACGGCAGAAGGAAATGCAAATTATAGGATGTCAGACTCTATTTAGTTTTGTGAATAGTCAGGTAAGTGAAAAATATTACTTAAGTCCTCATTTTTGCTATATAAGTATGGAGTTTTGCAAGAAATATTTTATTGATTTAATGCTGCATCTCTGATGGTGATTTCTTATCTTTGAAATTTCTAGAGTGATGGGACTTACATGTTTAACTTAGAAGCCTTTATTTCAAAACTGTGTCAACTAGCTCAAGATAGTGGAGATGATGAAAGGGCTGAAAACCTGCGTTCAGCTGGCTTGCAAGGACTTTCCTCAATGGTATTCCTTTCTATTTCTACTGTTTACATTTACATCAAGCTAGTCGAAGGAAATTGATAGTTTGGAGAAAAGAAAAGAAGACTCCCAATCCTTTTTCAATGGTACTCGTTTTCTCTGTTGTTTTTGTCTTTTATTCCCTCTTTCTAATAAGAAAACGTAATTCTTTGATAGAAAAGCAAGAGTAAGGCTGAAGGTACTCCAGTGACTAACTATAGATGAGATAGAGTAATTAGAAAATGGTTTGGATAAAGAACACCAAGTGGAGGCGGCAAAAAATGATAAGATCCCGTACTTCCTTAAAAAATCTGTTGGAAAAATCTCCTATTCCTTTTATCCAAATTTCCAAAACAAATAGTGATGCAGCAGGACGTTTTCATAGAAATTGCATAATTGCATTATGAATTCCTTAGCACATTTTTTGTGTGCATGTGCGTGTGCGGTTAATCAGTATATTCACTCTTGTTCCTATATAGGACGTACTTGTTGATCTACAAAGTTCGTGTTAATTCATTCTTTTTATGATTAGTAGTAGTATTCCTGCCATTATTGTTTGAGTGGTGGGAGGCTTGTTGTCCTAAAAAAGTAGACAATTAGGGTCCGTTTAGTAACGTTCTCGTCAGTGATTTTGAGGCACACCCCAGGCGAGAGGCGAGGCACCTTCAACCGGGCGAGGCGCACCTCTCGCCTGAGGCAAGGCGATCGCCTTGTTGAAGGCTGGCGCACAAATAGCCTACCTCAAATGAAAAACCCTAAAAATTATCAAAATTCTCCTTGACAGCTCATTCTTCTTTGTTTTTGTTCGCCTTCTTTGTCTTTGCCGGCAACTATTTGCCTCCGTCGATCGTCGAAATTAAAAGGAAAAAACATTAGGATGGAAGAAGAATGAAAAGTAGAAGAGTGAAAGGAAGAAGAAGATTCAGATGCAAAAAGAAGAAAAATAAGAAAAGTGGGAGAAAAGCAAAAGACAGAATTACATTTTCAAGAAGCATTAAATGAGGGTCATGGATGGTATTATTTTCAAGAACATTTAGTGTTAGTGCCATGCATGGTGACTAATAAACAGATGGCAGCTTAAATGGGTTATTGCCATTGCATTTTACGATATAAAAACTTTTAAAATTTTTATATTTTTTTTCTTAATTTAAGTAAACTTTTATTTAGATATTAAATTATTTTTTTAATGTTTTAAAAGATGTAAGTTAATCTTATTGCTTAAAAGATGGTGACTAATGATATATTTATTGCTTAATCTTATTTATTTTTTTTACAACTTTGGCATTTTATATATATATATATATATATTATATATAGATTAATTTTTTTTACAACTTTGGCATTTTAAAGGCCAAATGAAGACCTTTCGAATCCCCAGACAACCTTTTAGATCTCAACACTTTCTGTGACTTTTCTTCTTCAAAAGACACCTTAGAAAACTGAAACCAAGGGGATTTCTAAGCACCATTAACCTTTCAATCTCAAAAGACATTTTCACCTGCTGGATCCCATGAGAATTTCAATCGACACCTGCTAATTTTTATTGAAAGTGGCCTTTCAAATTCAAAAGACCCCTGCTGCCTTTTATTCTTTTGAAAAGTGTAAGGAAACCCCTTACAACTTCTTGAAATTCAAATACACAACAAGAACGCAGTAATACAACCTCTATCCAGCCAATTCGAGAGGGCTGGTAACCTCTCCACATAACATAACCGTTCTACTCCACGAAAAGCATAAAAACATCTTCCCTACATTCCTCCTACTTTATTCCATGTCCCTCCATCTCTCTCTTCTAACTGACTCCATAACTAACTTGTGTAATTCTCTCCTTTACCCCTCCTAACATAAACATTTATAATTGGAGGCCTTACAAAAAGACCTTGGATCCACCTTTTCTGCAGAAGCTTTATCCACCTAAACCAACCGCATTTAATATGAAAGCCATATAATAAAGGCGGAAGGAGAACTCCTCGAAATACCCAACTTCCAGCCAAACAAATATTTATAATTTCCACTCTTTTTCTTTTAACAAGATACAGACTTTTCGATTAATGAAAAGGAACAAACTGTCCTAAGGATACAAACTCCCCTAGGGAGTGAAGAGTGCCAAAAGAAAATAGAAGTAAAAAAAACAAACGTTACAAACTAGCTAAAGCAACTATAAAAGAAAGATGAAAGCCTCCTAATTAGAATAGATCATGCTAGCAGAGTAGTTTGAAATAGATTGGAAAGAGCACACCATTGAGAAGCTTTTAACTTAGCCATGTTGAAGCAATCCTCTGGTGCTCTAGTTTTTCCTTTAAAAAATCTTTGATTTCTTTCATACCACAGCTCATATAACAGTGCTTTAACTCCATTGATCCATAATATTCCTGGAATATCCGAAAGACCTAGACCAAACAGCAGATGAGAAACTATAAAACCCAGGACATGTTGAAAATAAGGAGAGACCTCCAGCAAGCGAATGCGTAAGGGCAATGGAAGAAAATATGCTCCTGACTTTCTCCATGATTAACACAAGGAACACAAAAGGAAGAATGAAAAGCCATACTCGGTAGCTTCTTTTGCAGGACTTCAGTCTTATTAACTTTTCCAAAAGATCCAAGAAAGAACATTAACCTTTTTAGGGCTTCTAGATTTGCATAAAATGGCATAAAAATCCTTTGGAAAAGAAGAAGGAAACTGCGGTTTGCACAGTGAACTTACCGAGAAGGAACCTTTGGAAAAACGAGAGCAAGGCAGGATAATAACTCTGTGAACTCACCCATTTCAATGTCCTTGAGGCTTGAGCTGCCTTCTTGTAATAATCTTCCAAGAAGAAAGGGCTGGATCCCGAAGGTCAAAAACAGAAGCTGATGTGGATGCAGAAATCCTAAAAAGATGAGGAAATCTGACCTTTAGAGCAGCCTCCCCAACCATAAATGATGCCAAAAGAGAATGCGTTTGCCATTCCCAATACTGAAAGACGAACGCTTCTTTACCAGCTTCCACTCCTTATTAATATTGATCCAGGGGCTTCAAGCATAACCATTTTTCAAAACCAAAGTGTTCCAATTGAAATAATCAGTATTATAAATACTAGCCACCACCCGTCGCCATAAAGAGGACACTTCAGAGCTGAAACGCCAATCCCATTTGGCTATAAGAGCACGGTTTCTTTTTGACAAAAAGCCTATTCCCAGTCCACCATCTTCCAAATGCTGTGCAACAAAATCCCATCGAGCCAAGTGCTTCAACGAACCATTTGATTAATCATCCCAGAGAAAGTTCCTCATACTTTTCTCAATTTGCTCACTTTCCCCCACATCTTGAAAAGAGACAATAAATCATAGCGTCAACCTTCCACCTCTTCAAAGCTGGAATCTTTTCCATCTATCAGGCTTTTTTGAAATCTTTTTTTTAACTGGGTTCCAAAATTCTATTGATTTCGGTTTCCCCCAATGGAAGGCCAAGATACATAATAGGCAAAGACTCAACCTTACAATTGAGCATTTTTGCAATTTGAGACACTTTCTGACTTTTTATATTAACCCCATAAATTGCAGACTTATCCCAATCACCTTCAGCCCGAAAATCCATTCAAAGCCCTTGATAGTGTCAAATAAAATTTCCAGCATTCTCTCATCATTTTTGCAAAAGAGTAAAGTATCATCCGCGAATTGAAGATGCCCAATTTGAATCACAAAATTTAAAAATAGTTTTAAAAAATAAATTTATCAAACAGATATTCACTAAATTAATATGATAAAATGAATCTAAAAACAAGAAATAGAATTCGGATTGCATACAAAACATACCCTAAATGATCAATTAGTTTTGACTCCTACATGATAGCATAATGATCATAAGCAGAAGGTGTGTCCTTGCAAGATAACTTAGAGGATTGGTTCTAATGCCTAAAGTAAGTAGTTACTAGCTGATGTCAACAGCTCTCCCATCTTCAATGTGACTGATCTACAGGATTTTACTCCAAATAGGTTTCGGTTACCATCATGAAAACAAAGGACGAGTTCTCTCTGAGGGAAGGAATGTGATGTAGTGCTATGTTTTGATTCCCGTAATTCTACTTTCTGTTGTCAAACGAAGTCCTATTTAAAGGTTTCTGGTCTCTTTTTTCCTTAAGATTTGAATTCTGTGTCCTTCTTAATCCTCTTGGGAGTGAAGGGAGGTTTCTCTAGCAAGATGATTTCCTCTCTATTTTATGGTGCATTTAGATCGAAAGGTTTAGGAGGATTTTTTAGGATAGGAATTATCGGTGAGAGGAGGTTTTGAGCGTTGTGATTTCAATGCTTCCTGTGTGCTTCCGTTTTTAGATTTTTCCGGACATTCCCATTCGTGATTAAAAATTGGAACTCTTGTAATTACCTATTTTCTGGTTTTTCCTTTTCTAGCCTTGGCCCTTTTTCTATGTGCACTGAACACTTATTCTTTCTTTCATTCTTCTTAGTGACAATATTATGGTTTCTAATCAAGATGATGATACAAGTAATAAATTGATAACAACATTAAGGTACCTATAAAACTCATGAACTTGCAAAGAGATTACATGTAGAATCTTTACAATTTTTGCATTGCAAACTATATTCCTTTCTATTTTCATGTTATCTATATCTGTAAGTGGCTATAGGGAGAAACTCTCTTCCCAATTTTGTCATTTAAATTGATAGAGATTTTTCTAAATTCAGGTATAATTAGTTTCCTTATAAAATTTTTCACTATTACCTTTAGTGGCAATTTTCTCATTTAAATACAAATCTGTGTCTCCAAATATTTTCTCTCCACCTCCTCCAAATATTTTATCTCCACCTTTACAAATTCCTCTTATTAAATCTCTCTCCTCTCTCTCTCACGAAATTTTCTACCCACACCGTCAAAATTTTATTTCTCCCTCTTATTGATTGTCTTTCTCATTAACTATATGTTTCCCTCTCTCTCCACCCATCCAAAATCTCCTTTTCTTCTTCTTCTCTCTCAATACTCTCTCCCCATCGGCCAACCCCTCCATTTTCCACTTAATCACGTTTAAATCCTTCCTCATGTTTCTTATTTATTGTGATTTGCCTCTCTTAATCAATTGGCTTATTGATATTATTACTAAAAGTCTCAATGTTACAAAACCCTTCAAATTATCTTTTATTTTTGTAAACAAAAAATCCTTCCAATTATCTCTCGATTAATTGGGTCAAAAAAGAAACAAGGCTTTAAAGATTCTTACCCTCCATGTGATAATGATTAATAATGTAACAAATGCACCTACCTCTGACCAAGAGATTAGTTCGAAACCCCACTCATATTGTACTAAAAAAATATAATGTAACAATAAAAATAAATAAATAAAACATGAATTTTTTTAAAAGTTAAATACGTGATTTTTTATTTTCTCACTTTTCAAGTGGAATTATTACTACATATAGATCACCTTAAGCAAGACAATGCCATGATCGACAAGAATGTGAAAAGTTAAAATATGAAAAGATTGAATATAAAAAGTTTTGTTAATTTACTTCTAAAAATTAATTATAAAATTTATGACTTGACCTTTAATTATAATTTAATAATAAAATTTCTCAAGTTTTAGAATTTTAATAATTTTACAACATTCTCCGACTTCTACAACCATACTATATAAAGTCTCTTTCTCTTCTACTTTTTTTCTACAAAAATTTTGTGCCTCCTCCACTTAATGTTTTTTTTTATTCCTCTATCAATTCCCCATTTTCTAAAGTTTATCAATCCGTAGATGTTTTTGAGTTACTTTATGATTGGAAACATATAGTTTATTTAATTTTGTTACGATTTCTGTTTTAAAAATAATGTAGGATTAGAGTTCCTTAGTACTTACAAAATATAAATTGATAAATTGATAAATTGAGAATTAATTTTAATATATGGTTGAATAATGTTAAAGACTCGTTCTGTAAAATGTGTCTTACAAATATGCTTGTCAATACTAATTTGGTTTTTGTTTTCTTCTAGGTTTGGTTTATGGGCGAATACTCTCACATTTCTGTGGAATTTGATAATGTAAGTTGATTCAGAAATGCTGGACCAATCTGGATTTTGTTGTACTAAGGATATTATACCGTCATTATATTTCCTGCAATATATTCTGCATGTTCCCATTGTATGGTTAGTTCAAACAATCCACCCTAGGTTCAAATCTCCCCCGGCCCCCTCGAACTTGTACCTTTGTTGGGAACAAACCTTATTTTGTATGATTAGTATTATTGTTATATGAAATTTGATGCTTAGCTTGGATTGTCCTATATTTACACAGATTGTTTCAGTGGTCCTTGAAAACTATGGGGCTCCTGAAAAAAAATCAGACGACTTAAATAACCGATGGGTGCAAGAAGTGCAACGGGGTGAGGTTGTCACAATGAGCACACCATCTTGGAGGGAAATTGTGACTGAAAGAGGTGGAGTGAACTTGACAGGGTAATCATTTCACTCTGATTAGGTCCGCATGCTGTCATCTTGTTGAGATAAATGTTTCATCATAAATTAACTATCTTTGCTTCGATAGGGAGGATGTCCAGAACCCTGGCTTTTGGTCCAGGGTTTGCTTACACAACATGGCCAAACTTGCCAAAGAAGCTACAACCATGAGGCGTATTTTAGAATCTTTGTTTCGTTACTTTGATAATGGAAATCTATGGTCTACTGAACACGGTATTGCAACTCCAGTTCTGAAAGATATGCAGTTCCTAATGGACAAATCTGGTGCGTTCTTTCAGTTATAACCCCGTTTGTGTTTTTTTTCTGTCAACTTATTCAAACACTCGTGCCTCATGTTTTCTGATGAACCTCTTGTTGGTCAATTATATTTTTATTTTGACAGGTCAAAGTACTCATGTTTTGCTTTCCATGTTAATTAAGCATCTCGACCATAAAAATATCCTGAAGCGGCCTAACATGCAGCTTGACGTTGTTGCTGTGACTACTGCCCTTGCCCAAGATGCAAAGGTTGAACCTTCTATTGCAATAATTGGTGCGGTGAGTGACTGCATGAGGCATTTGAGGAAGAGCATACAATGCTCACTCGATGATGCAAATCTAGGGGATGATGTGAAAAGTTGGAATAAAAGCTTAAGTGAAGCAGTGGATCAGTGTCTGGTACAGCTAATACATAAGGTGATGAGAATGCTGTTCTACTTTTAGGAGTGATGTACATACGCATTTGTAAATGCTATATAAATTTAAATTGTTTAACTTTCATTATTGTTGAGCATATCTTAAAAATTTAAATGCTTAACCAAGCATTAGAAACAGGTTGGAGAAGCATTCCCAGTTCTTGATGCTATGGCTGTGATGTTGGAGAACCATTCTACCATTACAGTCATAGCGAGAACTACAATTTCTGCTGTTTATCGTGCTGCTCAAATTGTTGCCTCCTTGCCTAATTTGTCATATCAAAACCAGGCAAGAAACAATCTAGTGCTTTTGATTCTGATTCATTCTCTCCTGCAAAGTTTAATCTTATGATTTTAATAAATTCAGTGTTTTGTGCCTTAGGCATTCCCTGAGGCTTTGTTTCATCAGTTATTACTGGCTATGGTCCATCCAGATCATGAAACACGAGTTGCAGCTCATCGTATTTTTTCAGTTGTCCTTGTGCCATCTGCAGTTTATCCTCGTCCAGGCTCTTCGGATTTTGAGTCTATGAAGGCTTCTGATCTTCCTAGGACACTCTCAAGAACCGTGTCTGTTTTTTCTTCTTCAGCTGCCCTTTTCCAAAAGCTGAGGAATGAAAAGTTCTCCTTGCTGGAAAATGGTCGTCCAGATACAAAAGACAGCTCTCTTACCAATGGTGAACAGGAAGGTGTAAGCAATGGTATGCTAAGTAGGTTGAAGTCATCCTATAGCCGGGCATATAGCATGAGAAGTTCTGGACCTTTGAAAACTGATGAAACTACCATGAACAACTTGAGCAAAGAACCAGTATGTTGTGCGAATATCATTTAATATTTTAAATGTTTCATTACTTTAATTGTATATATTGTAGAAAAGCATACTCAAATCACCAACTTAGGCATGATGGAACACTGCTAATGTATTTTATTTCATTTTGTTTTTTATTGTTCCCTGCCAATAGATGCGTGTACCGGAGGTGTTATAGTAAACCCTGCTCTATTTACCTGTCAACTTTGATCGATGATTTGATATGTGCCTGGGTGTTATGTTGATGATTGACATGTCAACACAATAGTGAAAAATAATGTAGCTAGCTCCTTTTTTTCTCTAAATTTATTTACCAAGAGTATTTGTTTCTATAATTAAGAATGCAGCATGCTGTCTTTCAGAATTCATTATTTTTATATTTATTTCCCAGAGTACATTAGCATCTAGATCCTCGATGAAGCAGAAGTATTAAAGTTCCTATACCTTAATGTCTTCAGAAATATGTAACATAGTTGACTCATATAATATGCTTTACCTAGATTACCAACTTAACCTTTTTATTAAGTGAGACACGAGTATGTCATAACATGCGTTAGAATAACCATCAATGTTATCAAGTTTGGAGATTTCTCTTATTTGTGCATGTCATCAAAAAGCTTTGGTAACCGACGTTGCTTACTTTTTCCTCTTCTTTGTTATTTTCTAAATTAAACTTCAGGAAGCTTGTTCTCTACGACTCAGTAGTCGCCAAATTACACTTTTGCTCTCATCAATTTTGGCACAATCCATATCTCCCACTAATTTTCCAGAAAATTATGAAGGAATTGCCCATACGTACAGCTTGATCTTGCTATTCTCTCGAGCTAAGGTAATTGTTTTATTAGGTTGAGGACAATACTTTTTGAATGTGTTGATTTGTGCTTCTACTGGGATGAACTGTCAATATCTTTTCTGTAGAAAATCTCATTTTCTTGCTTGCATGCTAAACTTTTAATGGACTAGTTGTGTCCTCATGGCATGTAATTTATTTTTTATTTTTTGGACAAGAAACAAACTTTTCATTGATAATATGAATTAGTGGTGTCCTTTAACTTTGTCATCTCTACGTGATTGTATTTTATTTTTCTTCGCTCCTTTCGGAGTTTGTATCTTTGAACAATTTTGTTCCTTTTCATTAATCAATGAGAAGTTCGTATCTTGTTCAAAAAAATATGAAAAAAGGAAGAAAAAAGTTCAAGGATACAATTCCATCTAGCAAATACAATTTGCAATGGCTGGGATAGGTTCTTTCAATTTGTCCCATATGCCTTAGAAGTCTGTTTAAATAATTATTTTCAGAATGCTCTTAATTAAATTTTTTTTTTTCAGAAACGGAAGCAATTTTTATTAATGTGTGGAAAGGTTACAATAATGAGTACATGTTGTACAAAAAAAAAAGTTTCTATCTAAAGCAAGACTCCCCAGTGGAGGTTACAAAAAACCACCTCAGTTAGGGCCTTATTTCTAGCAATAACTAATTTAATGGGGTACAATACAAGTGGAAAAAAGGGTAAGAAAGCGTGGGGCCCTCTTGAAGCATGTCTTGGTTTTGTTAGAAATGGCTCTCTATTCTCTCTCCTTTTCTGAATCTCCTATGGAGACGGAAAAATTCTACAAAGTCCAGTTATTACTTGCAAGGGTCCTGTATTAGAAGGGATTTGCTCAATGTTTTTGACGGTGCGAATTGTATCTGAGTAATTTCAGCTGAACTTTCTAGGCTGTTTTTTTCTCTAACGATTTATATTTTTAGTGGCAGTTAGTCTAATGATAACATTTCTCTTTGCTAGGGCTTGAGTTTGGGCGAGGCCCTCGTACAGTTTAGAGAAACACCTTAAGATTTAGGACGTTATGTTGTGAAACCCTGCCAGTACCAGAATAAATAAGTTAGAAGGACTAGGACAACTTTCTCTCTCTATATATATATAACTAGGCTTTCTTTTTCTCCTCGAAATCTTCATCAGAACCAGAAAAACTATAGTTAAAGCCTTAAAGGTCTAGAACAACTTTGCTATATATAATATATATAATTATATATATATATATCTCTAGGCTTTCTTCTCAAAATCTTCACTTCTTTTATTTTGTTATTAGAATAATTTTCTCAACGCATTATATGGTTCTTTCCATGCAGAACTCAAGTCATGAGGTCCTAGTACGAAGTTTTCAGTTAGCATTTTCATTGCGAGATATTTCTCTCAGTAAAGCAGGTGAAGTTCTAAAATTTTAGCTTACAAATTTGGACTTCAATCCAATTGATGAACTAAGTTTGAAATTTGTTATTGTCAGAAGGAATGTTGATACGTTGATGCAAGATGTCATTTCATGCATCTGTCATATATGTGAGAAAGAAATAGGAAACACGGTAGAGGTTGATATTATAGAATAAAACGTTGAAATGAAGAGAACTATGTGAGACTGAGAATTGACTTTTAAAACCATATTGAGTTTTTGCTTAGGTGAATGATTTACTCGAAAGATTATACTGGAGAATGATGAGGCTTAATTTTCCATCAATTTGAAACTCAAGCTACAACTTGTGCTCTAATTGCAGGATCACTGCCACCATCACGTTGTAGATCCCTATTTACTCTAGCTACATCAATGATCCTCTTTTCATCAAAAGTTTTCAATATATTTCCCCTTATTGATAGAATGCAGGCTATATTCGAGGAAAAAATGGTACGTTGCCTTTTTGCTTATTCAAAGATCTATTGCAGACAAATTTTGCCTATATTAATTAGAGGTTCAAAGTTCAATATCTTCTGTTATGGTTGTTTGTTTCTCAGTTATGCATCCGACCACTTAGAGCAACCATTACCTTCCATATTTAGTCTTCGTTTATATCTGAAGCTGCTATTGAAATTTCAATCATGACTTGTTTCTGAACCTGTTTAGGCCGATCCCTTCCTACATTTGGTAGAGGACTGCAAGTTACAAGCCGTTACCATACAGTCTGACAAAATGACTAGTCCATATGGATCTAATGAAGATGATGATTTGGCCTCAAAATCTTTATCAGAAGTAGAGATTACTGACGATCAAACTAGAGAGTCTTTTGTTTCTGAGATTGTGAAGAGCTTGGATACATTTTCAGACGTAAAGCTCACTAGAACACTCATTTTGTGGATTGATTCTCAGTTTCATTGAGATTGGTTGATTCTTACTATTGATAGTAATAGATTTTGATCTCTTATGGTGCAGTATCAATTGTCCAGAATAAAGGAGCAGCTTCTCAGCGAGTTCGTACCTGATGATATGTGTCCTCGCGGAAATCAGCTGTTAGAGGATACTTCTCATGAAGCATATGAGGTTATACTCGAACTCTAATAAATACACTAAAGAGATTATAAACCTATGTAGCATAAGTTTTCTTAAACTTGTGGAGCATGACATCTTTTTTTTCTCTTTGCAGTCCGCTCCAATTTTTTCTGTTGATGAAGATTCTTTTGGCGATTCATTCGAAAGCCAAACTAAAGATAATCCAGAGTTGCACTTTGTGATTCCGCTTTTGAGTGTGAATCAACTTTTAGAATCGGTATGTCTTCAAGCTCTCCTTAATTGGGAACTGGATTTTTCAATGGTAGCTTTTATCACGTTTTCATCAAATCAGGTACTCGATACGGCGTCTCCAGTTGGAAGAATCTCCTTCTCCATGCCACCTGATGTGCCTTACAAGGAAATGGCCCACCATTGTGAGGTACTTCTGATGGGAAAGCAGCAGAAGATGTCTACTTTGATGATTTCACAACAGAAACAGGAGAAGTTCATGATCTTATCTCTGCAAAACCAAGAGAATGAGGTAAGAACCCAGACTCCAACCTAATCATGTGTTAATTTTGGATCATCTGTGAGGCTTATATGCTGGGATATCAGTTTTAGCTATTCCACGTGTAGAGATTCTGGTTCTTTCCGGTGCTACCGATCTTGAGTTCAGAAATACATTCCTCCTCATGATTTGATTATCCAAGTTGGTGAGAGAGAGTATAAAAATCAAGAGAAGAGGAGAAAGAGAAGAAAAAAGGAGGGATGGAATTAGAGAGACGAGGATATTGGAAGCTTTACCAAATTGTTATATGAACTCCCTTCAAATGAAAAAAAAAAAAATCAGAATCAACCCCTAGACCAACCAAATTGTTATACCGCTCGGCCATGCCGCCAAAACGATACAAAATATTGGATTGGCTCTATCTCTTCGATTGATAGTATCTTACAACACACAATATCTAAAACTAAAAACCGAAAAACTTTGCTTTATTTTTCTATTGAAAGAAAATAAAAAAAAATGTGGATTTTCAGTCACAAAAGAAAAAATTCAGGACAAATGGGAACCGTTAACTTTAACTATTGATTGTGAATTCATAAATGATTCTTGGATTAAAATTGAAAATTAGATATGAACTCCCTTCAAATGAAAAAAAAAAAAATCAGAATCAACCCCTAGACAGAAAATGGAATTATCAAAGTCAAAGTAATTCTAAACTTTATAAAATCTTAAGTTCCAAATATTGTTACTAAATCTATATTTTAAAGGATGCAAGTTCCTCACCATGTGGGAGAAGCATAAATATTCATGAACATTCCTGAATTTGCAGGTTGGCAGTCCAATCATTGAACACTTCGCAGCCAACCCGTACCAACTTCCATCTAGACCGATCGTGACGCCGTGCATGGCTGAACACCAGTGTCATCCAAACTCATTTAGATTACCAACTTCAAGTCCATATGACAACTTTCTCAAAGCTGCAGGCTGTTGATTCCCTTCCTGTGTAAAGCACCACATGTTCTTTCGGTCAAACCGAACATATTAGGTACCCGAGCCATTGATTTCAACGGGCGATGACTCGGCAACTGGAGCACATTTTGTAAGTAGTTATCACAGAAAAAAAAAAGCTTCACATTTTCTTGTTTTCAGTAAAGTTTGAAGGTCCAAAATCTCAATTCTTTCATTCTTTTTCTTGTATTTTTTTCCAAGTTTCGTATTCATATTTGTGGACTCCTGCAGGAAGACTTGCTATTTTGTTCCCTGCTCAAGACGTTTGAAAATCGTCTTTTGATTTTTGGGGGGTTTTAGTTCCACCTTAATTTATATAAATTGTATATTTCGTTTTTGTTTTTGTTTTTTGTTTCATTGTTGTATGTAAACTCTAGTTTTCAAGTTATAGCAATGGAACAGCATATTCTTGTATTTACAGAAGAAAAAAAAACTGGAGGGAAATTACATTCAGTGAGGCTAATTTTTTATTCACACACAACATAGTTCTTTATACCTCAATTATTCTCCTATGATTTTTCATGACAATAAATCTTAGTATGTCCTTTTCTATTCATTGTTTAATTCGAAATCTTAGTGAAAGATTGAACGGTTCGGGTGGACTTCACTATTCTTTCCCACCTCAAATGGAAAAGGTTGTCTCACATTGAGATTTCGATTTATTTTCCGCCCTGATGAGATGAGGAATTAGTAACTTCTTATTTCGACTTTTTGGCCCTTCATCTTTTTGAACATCTCTCCTTTTTTCTTAGCAAACACAGATTAGAGCACAATGTTTAGTCGGACTTTTTTATGAATTATTTTTTGTTTTTAGTGTTTTTTTATGTTCAACGACACATATCAGAGTAGAGATTTGAATCTATGCATACATACTTTAATGATTTGTTACGCGGAGATGGAAATGTTTAGTCAGACTTTTTTATGAGTTACTTTTTGTTTTTAGTTTTTTTCTTCTTCTTTATGTTCAACCACACATATCAGGATAGAAATTTGAACCTATGCGTACATACTTTAATCTGTTGTTATGCAGAGATGGAATTTGAAGAAACTATTTATTATGCGTTTCATATATGAATATGTATATCATATTTAGTATTACTTTTAATAAGGTGAATCCTCACATTTCATTTGGCATGCTTTACTTTTTTTTGTTTTTCTTCTTTAAAAGAACTATATTTTAAAAAAACTAAATTTCATGATATTATATTAATGTCGTTTTTTAATGATTTAACAATAACAAGTTTCTAAGGGTTTATTTGTTAACGTTTCCATTCTTTTTTTTTTCCTGTTTCCTCTTTTTAAAAAATAAAATTAGAATTGCAAGGTTTTCAACACTCATGTATTAAAAAATGATAAATTTATATTTTATTTATATTTTCGAATAAATTGAAAATAAGAACAATAAACAATAAATTTGTTTTTGCTGTCTTCAAAATCTCTATATAATCTTGAAAATGTTTCTAAAAATAATTGTTGTTAAATGCATGACTTTTTTTAATAAAATTAGAAATGAGAAATAAGAAATGGAAACATTATCAAATGGGTACTAAATTACTGACCAATATAAATACAGTCAACTATTTCAGGTCACCAATGAAAATGATATCTGAGATCTGATCTTTTTTACAGTTTAACTTTCAATTTTGGCTTATTTTGGTCTATTTACTCTCAAAATGTTTACGATGGTCTTTATACTTTTAACTTTTGTTCATTTCATACAAATACTTTTAAAATGTCTATTTTGGTATTTTATTTTCATTTTTATCTCATTTATTTCAATCACGACTTTAGCATGACATTTCACTCGCTAAACTTCATGAAATATATAAGTTTGTATCAAAGTTTTTCCATTGTATATAACATTTGCATGAAGATTTCGTAAATAGGGATCAAATTGAAAAGTGACTATATATAATAGACGTTCTGGAAGTATATATATTAAAATAAAAGTTGAAAGAATAGAGATCAAATTAGATGTTTGAAATTATATCGACCAAAATAACATTTGAACCCTATATATATAATAAATGTTAAGGATCCCATATTGATAAAAGAAGAGACTTTACATAGGTTTATAATATACATGGGCTACTCCTCTCATTCTCAATTGGTTTTGAGATGGAACCCCGAACCCCATAAATATTAATAATAAATAATATAGTACTTTTGAATATTTTATTTTAAAAGAATTACTTTTCAAGTAAAACCTTTATTCTTTTGTTTAAAAATTTATATAATAGAAAAAAAAGCCCAATACAACTTTTGATAAAAGAAAATTAAAATTAAAAGATAATTACCAAATATATTTTTTGTATTTAAAAAGAAGAAAAAAACATTAGTAAACATTATCTTAAAAGAGAAGGCAACTTTATTATAATATAATAATGTGTCACAAATTCTCTTAGAAGTAAACTTATTGATTACGTTTGAGTTTCACATGACAATGACTTGGCAACAACTCCAACCCTTTCTTTTGGCCCTCCAAATCTTTCTCTTCCCAACACACAAAACCTCAATTCCCTCTCTACTTCTAAGGATGTCTGCAAAACCAATAGTCCCCTACCTCTTTTGGATTGACCCGACGACTCGAAAAAACCGAGCAATCTAGCCTTGGTCTGTACTGGATTTCAATTTAGTCCTTGCAATCTTAAAAGTTACTATTTAGCCCTTTATGATTTTGATAAGTCTTTCGAAACGTCAAATTCTATCATAGAGCAGGTATACTTTGGACACATGATGAGTTGATACTTAAAAAAACGTGTTAGGTAAGAAAACTATTCATTTTTTTTCTATATAATAAATCCATGACGTTTTATCAAAGCGAGCATAGTTTAGTGGTAATTGACATATATTTTCAATCAAGAGGTTGTGAGTTCGATCTCCCACCCCACATGTTGTACTGAAAAAAATTTCATGACGTTTTAAGCTAACATAAGTACTATAACTCAACTGGTTAAACTATGACTAATTTTTCCTAAAGTTAGAGATTCGATTCATTTCACTCCCCACCCACCCTTTGTTTGAATTTAAAAGAAAACAAAGAATTTTAATATGGTAAGTCTTATTTTAATCCCGAGCTTCCATATTTATTCTATTTGAATCTTTAAACTTACCTACATTTCCATAAAAAATCATTTTAATTATATTTATAGCTACTGTTTTTTATATATAAAATTCTCTAATAATAGACTATATTTACTTAAACCATAGACAAGTATTTGAAACACAAAAGGTAGATTAAATATTTACTCTAGCTATATGAATATTCTTTAAAATTTAAATATAACATTTAAAAATTAATTAGGAATTAAAACAAAACAAATATAAAAATTTTGAGGTGAAAATAAGATCTTTTAATATCTAATAATTATAAAGTTGGGTGTGAGTTGAAAAATTAATTAATAAGTTGGTGAACAAGTTAGAGAATAAAAGCACATTAAATTTAAACCTAATGTATAAAAAAATTGCAGTTTGAGGCAAGTCCACCATGGATATATGAAATAACCAAATCTGGTGTATATAATATATATGCCAACCAACTAATTAAACCATATGATAATAAAACCTTATGTTTTAGTTTGCAAAATTTTCAAATATTTTGATTTAATATTTACCCTTCAAAAATTAATTATTTTTTTACTTAAAAAATTTAGATATTATAATAAAATAGGTATGAAAGTTACATTGATATAGTTTAAATCTATAATTTAATAAAACAAATATTTTAATTATTATTTCAGTTAAATTAAGAAATTTATACAGTTTAGGACTTTAAAAATGTACATTTACATTTTTTTATTTTGATTTTAAATAAATTCTGGAGGCTATTTACCACTTTCCCGTGGTGACAATTTAAGGATGTTTCTACTTTAGCATTGATATTATTACAAGTTTGTGCGAGCTGGAGCTATTAAACATTTTATTCCACCAACCTAATAGGGGTAAGAGCCGACCTATTTCAAGATATCCACAAGGGTGTAAACACTATGTCACTCCGACAGCACACCGCATTTCACGGGTGGTCAGATGATTGTTATGTCGCTGTCGAAAGCTGGAGATCATCCCTATAAATAGGGATGTCTGCCTCTTACATAAGGTACGCGAATCTATTTTTGCTTAAGGCTTAGATCGGATTGTGATTGACTTGCTCGTCAGAGTGCTAACCTTGTTTTACAGAACCGTTCTTTAAGAGAGTGAGAGAGATCATCTTGATTGTTCCGATCTACACGAATTCCGAGCTTGGTCGATTTTCAGATCAAACACATGCAATCACAATTTTTTAAATGTAGACGTAATTTTTTTTCTTTTTTTAGTACAATATATAAGGTGAGAATTTGAACTCACGACCTTTTAATCAGGAATAACTATCTTAATCAGTTGAGCTATGTTGGCGAGTGTGACAAGTTAATTGTCAGGGTCAGTAAGATACCATGATTAAAATTGTATATTTCACTCCTCTCTATTGAAATATTTCAGTCTATATTCTTATTTTATACGACACCCTATCCATTCATCCCACATTGTATCATTTCAACCTAATTAACGGATCATTTCAATATTTAACTAACAATTTTGACTACAAACACTTATCTATCTTGCAATGATAAAAAGTTTCAAGAATCAAAACTTTTCAAAACTATAGAAGTAAATAGATTCCAGAGTAGAAACTCCACCTACCAAATTTACAATTTAACACGTAATTTTCTTTTGTCTTACATAGCGCTCGAGTAATCGAAGATGTAACTTTGAAGCATGGGATGAAAGACAATAATTTCTTTTATTTTTATTATTTTTTTTTCTTTTTTGGGTGAAAATAAAAAGATTGAGAGTCAAGTGTGAGAGTCCTCCCCCACCAAACTTGAAAGCAGAGTTGTTAGATTCAGTGATTCAAGTTGAAGAAATCCGCACCATGCTTCTTCTACTTGTCGGCAACCACTGCTCCACAGAATCCCAATTCCAATTCCATTGACGATTCTCTGAGAAACCCCATTTCTGGATCGACGGAAGCCATTGGAAGGAAGAACACAGTAGTCAGTGGAGTTGTGGGACTGTTTTGGATTTCTCCGATCCAATGTTGGTCCAAGAACGTTCAACGCCGAAATCCCCCAAAACCCAGATCAGACCTCTCCCCACTCTCCATTCTCATCGCTTCTCCGAGTCCAAAAGCCTCGATTTCTCCACATGGCTCTCTGAAAATCTCTACAGAGTAGTAACCATTCTGCTCCTCGTCGTCTCCGTCGCCGCCCTCTTTTTCCTCCGCAATGTCGGCGACAGCGCCGCCCTTCTCTGCTTCCAATCCCAGACGACGGCCTTGGAGAAGATTCAATTCCCTAAAGTCGATTGGAATTCGATCGTCTCGATCCCGGCTAAGTCTTCTCTGTTCCCGGATTTTCGGTCTGAGCAATGGATCGTTGTTTCCGTGTCGGATTATCCCAGCAATTCACTGCGGAAGCTTGTGAAAATGAAAGGTTGGCAGGTTTTGGCAATCGGAAATTCACTGACGCCGGCGGATTGGGCTCTTAAAGGTGCGATTTATCTGTCCTTGGAAGAACAATCTAAATTAGGGTTTCGTGTGGTCGAGTTTCTTCCTTATGATTCTTATGTGAGGAAAACTGTTGGGTACCTCTTCGCAATTCAACATGGCGCGAAGAAGATCTTCGATGTCGACGATCGAGGGGATGTGATTGATGGGGATTTGGGCAAACATTTCGACGTAGAATTGGTTGGAGAGGGAGCGAGGCAGGAGATCATATTGCAGTATAGCCATGAAAATCCTAATAGAACTGTTGTTAATCCATATATTCATTTTGGGCAAAGATCAGTGTGGCCTAGGGGTTTGCCACTGGAAAATGTGGGTGAAATTGCTCATGAAGAGTTCTATACCGAAATTTTTGGTGGAAAGCAGTTCATCCAACAGGGAATTTCCAATGGTCTTCCTGATGTCGATTCGGTATTTTACTTCACTCGAAAATCTGGATTGGAAGCGTTTGATATTAGGTTTGATGAACGTGCTCCAAAAGTGGCATTGCCACAGGGTATGATGGTTCCTATTAACTCCTTCAATACTCTTTATCACACCTCAGCCTTCTGGGCTTTAATGCTTCCTGTTTCCATTAGCACAATGGCTTCTGATATCTTGAGAGGATATTGGGGCCAGAGGCTCCTTTGGGAAATCGGTGGCTACATTGTAGTATATCCTCCAACCGTTCACCGACATGATAAGGTTGAAGCATACCCGTTTTCAGAAGAAAGAGATCTACATGTGAATGTGGGTCGTTTGGTTAAGTTTTTGAATTCGTGGAGATCGAGTAAACATAGGCTGTTTGAGAAGATTTTGGAGTTGAGTTTTGTAATGGCAGAAGAAGGGTTTTGGACTGAGAAGGATGTGAAGTTTACAGCAGCTTGGCTTCAAGATTTAATTGCTGTTGGGTACCAGCAGCCGAGGCTAATGTCATTGGAATTGGATCGACCTCGAGCAACTATTGGTCATGGGGATCGGAAGGAGTTTGTTCCGCAAAAATTGCCATCCATACACCTTGGGGTTGAGGAAACTGGGACCGTGAGTTATGAGATAGGGAACTTGATAAGATGGAGAAAGTATTTTGGAAATGTTGTGCTTATCATGTTTTGTACAGGCCCTGTAGAACGAACGGCTCTTGAATGGAGATTGCTATATGGGCGGATATTCAAGACGGTGATAATTCTTTCAGAGACCAAGAATTCGGATCTTGTAGTGGAAGAAGGTAGATTGGACCATGCATACAAGTAAGTCACATTCTTTTTTAAGAACATGATTGACAAGTTTGTGTGAGTTAGAAGCCTATACAAGTACTCATTTGGTAGACAGACAATATTTTGATTGCTCTTTTCTGTATGTTGTTTGTAGAATCCCATTCATTTTTGTCATTAATTCTTTAAAAAAAATTCCAAGGTAACATTTCTTTTCATGCTGCCTAAAACGTAAATATAATGATTAATGGAAGATTACCTTATTTGAGCTTGGCATCTGGAGTTAAGAAAATAGGCATTCGAATTCACAAGTGACCATAAAATGGATATTTAATTCTCTGAGAAAAGTTTCTGAGAACTTCTATATTTTCTTGCTTGGTTGTTAGATTGGAACTCTTGAGACAAGTTTATTATCACTATAATATATTTCATTTGAGGACTAGGCACTGCAGTCATGAGATCGCATTTTACAATTTGTATCGTTGCAAACTTGGAATTATTGGCTGTCAATAGAATTAGTATGTGTTCTGTTTCTACCTGCATTCTCGAATACCATATTCTGCTTAATTGCTCCAGTTGGTTAAGCTCTCATAATCATATACTGTACAAAGTACTAATATGTTTTTAACTATGTTCATAGGTACCTGCCCAAGGTTTTTGAAACATATAGCGGTGCAGAAGGGTTTTTATTCCTGCAAGACAATACAATTCTTAACTATTGGAATCTGCTACAGGCGGACAAATCAAAACTCTGGATAACTGATAAGGTATTTAAAATTTTGAATTGTTTTTTATCTTCCGAAAAACACTACATCATAGGAGGGATTCGGACCTACAAACTATTAGGGAGATATTTCCACTTGATCTATTCAGCTGAATTACCAGGTTTTAAGCCTTTTTTTTTTGGTGCATTTGTTGTCCTTAAGACACTCACTGATTCTCTTTCCTGAGGTTGAAAATATTGGGGGTAAATTAGTAGAAATTAGAAAATAGGGAAATATTACGAGGAAACATCTTTTAACACTCAAAAAATGATATTTAACTGCTCAAATGCATGTTGGTCCTTGTGAAATTGGCAGACTGCAAATCCGAAACCTTTTAAAGCTCTCTCTCTCACATTATGTCAACGAAATCAGGTACCCAAATCTTGGACTACTGTATCAGTTGAAAGCTCAGATTGGTTTATGAAACAATCAAATATGGTAAGGAAGATAGTGAGCATGATGCCAGTTCATTTCCAAGTCAGTCACAAGCAGTCTGTAGCAAGTGAGAAGAGCCTCACAATCTGCAGTTCCGAGCTCTTCTTCGTTCCTCGACGCTTCGTAGCCGACTTTCTCGACCTTCTTGGTCTAGTGGGTGACCTAGAACTCCATCACAAGGTTGCAATCCCCCTGTTCTTTACGGCAATGGATTCGGTCCAGAACTTCGACCCAGTATTGAGTACAACGAGCTACAGAGAGAAACCACCCCCTACAAATTCATCAACCATTTACTCTGTTCATGTGCCTGCTGTTCATCCCTGGAATGTGTCAAGTGAACAGGATTTCATCAAATTGGTAAGAATTATGGCAGAAGGTGACCCACTTCTAGCAGAGTTAGTTTGAGGGGAAAAAGAAAAAGGAAAAGAAAAGAGAGTTTGACACTTGGATTCTTGGGAGTTAAGGGGAGACATGTATACTAAGGAAACTGTTGTTTTTCTTCTCTTTTTGGTTTTAGAGTGAAGGAAAATACATTTCATTGACACCCCCCTCCCTCTCAACACTTGGTTTTTTTTTGTAGAGTTTGTGTTTTCCCACAATTTGTTGTAAGAAAGAAATTGTATTCAACTAGTTCTTTTGTTTCAACAAGTATATGAACAGGAAATTATATTGGTGGGCTCCTTCGTGGCGGAGCCTGTTTTGTAATGTTTTCGTTTTTTGGTTTTTTTTGTGTTCCATTTTTTAAGGAAGGAAAATAAAATTATTGTTTCTTCTCTCATAAGTATAAATTGGAAATGTCCATGTCTTAGTTCATGAAAATGTCAGAATGGATAATATCGATAAAATATCAATGTCAATAGATATTTATGGAAAAATCATAAAAATAAAAAACTCGTAAAAACTATTAAATTAACCAATAAGCACTTATTTAGAAATAAGCCTTTCATTTCTTTCTAAATAAGTTAAAACTACTTAATATTAATATTATGTCTATATTAGTGAGATTTTGTTGATATTTTGTCGACTTTTTGTCATATTATGGAAATATCGATTAATCTCTTATGTCAATGTCAACTCATGGATACATAGAAATGTTGATAGAAATATCAGACATGTCGACGAATATTTAATACCATGGTTGCACATATTTAATACCGTGGTTGAACATAAATGCAAATGATCTCATTTTTAGTTTTTGTTAGACCAAAACATATATATATTTTTTTTTTTTTGAAAAATAGACCAAAACATATTTGATCATGGCCATTTAATCACTTTTTCAAAAGGAGTAGAAATGTGTTACCAATTTCTAATTTTGTTCTGTTCACTAAATTTTTCATTTTTAAATCACAATTTAACAATGGAAGTTAGTCTCAATCAAAATTTTAAATGTCAATAGCAATGGAAAAGAAAATTTATAAAAAATATTTAAATTAACAAAGGAATATATCACCCATTATAAATCAGTTTAAATAGATAAATATTATATCAAAATAATAATATTTTATTGATTTTTATATTTTGTCATTTTAAATCGGATGAAATATTGACATGTTCAAAGTTATTGTAGTTTCATCCAATTTAAAACTACAATATTTTTAAAATAAGTTTCAAAATCTACAATATTTTTAATATTTTAATTAAACAACTATATTTTTAAAATAAGTTTCATTTACAACAATATTAAAAAAAACATGTTCAAAGATATTCATTTCAATTTAAAAAACATATAACCTTTTAACTTTTTGCAATTATTAGGCAATTTATAAGTAAAAAATGACGAAGGTAATATCTGTATTTATATTTTAAAAACACAAAAATTGGAAACAATTAGTTTTTGTTTCTATCCTATCAAACATGTTTGCTTCAAAATTAAAAACAAGAAAAAAAATTCCACTAATATAGTAGTTTGTGTAAGAATGGAAGTTGTGAATTTTCTAATTTGACAATGAAAGTATTATTCCCAATCTGTGGTATTGAACTTATAGTTCCAGAAAGAAATTACACGAACATAAACTTAGCTCAACACTTAACATAAACTTAACTCAATAGTTAAATTACAAATTTATCCTTCAAAATGGCACAAAAAGCAACCAATACTCATAGAGAAGATTAAGCCATAGCAAATAGGAAGAAAACTCATTAATTTCGATTAAAATCAAGCCCCATAAATCTAATCCAAAACATTCAAGCATTGATTTATTAGACAAATCTTCCAAGACTCACCACTAATCAAAGCTCGAAGATTGCACACTAAAATCCCATCATTTTCAAAGTCCATCTTTAAACCATGAAGATTACACTAAAATTTAACTTACCTTGTCCCCAATTAGGATAAAAATTGAAGATTTTCCCTTCCTAACTTTAACCGAATCATCTTACGTAAAACTTATTTCCAACCAAACCCATAAGTATAACAATCATCTGCAACAAAATGAAGTTCGTGGGGACACAAAAATAAGTGAAATTTTTCTAAACGCCATCAAAAGGTAAAATAGATTACAGTCAAAATTCAAAATTTGTGAAAAAGAAAAAAGAAAAATCTGTTCTTCAAAGTCACGGGACTCAACCAGGGAACCAATAATATGGGGCTTTTCGCATAGAAAGACACATTAATACTATATTCCCACAAGTAAAGAAGAAAAATGATCATTAACTAAGTTCAAGCATTGACCCTCTCAGGTTCTTCCAACAATAAAGCCTTGACGGTGGGTTTTGCCAATAAATCTGTGTGCTCTTGGAATGGGGATTTTGTGAAGCGTGTCTCCCTCCAAAACTCAGGTGTTAAGAAGCCATAAGTTTTCAGCAGACAGTCAAAGGTTGCCTGAAACAGCAATAAAGAGGGACAAATAAGACCCACATGACAAAAAAACATATTAACAGCAAGAAAATAGCTCCAAGCCAATCTAAATTAACACCCAAAACCCTGAGCAATCTCTTATTTGGTATGGAATTTCACTGTTATAAACAACCAACAATGATACAACTTTTGTAATAGTAGAAAATGGAAGAGTTTCAAACAACATTCACATTACAGTATAAAAAGTTTCAAACAACCCCCCCTCCCCCAAAATTGAAATCAAACGTCCGATCCAAAATGAAACCACCCATCATCAAATGATTAAGGTTTAACTAGTCCATAAACTTCTTTGTTCATTTTGTTTAGAAAATCTAAACTTCCAATCTATTAACTTTGCATAAAATTCATTATAATCCTTGTTAAACTAGTATTTAAATCAATGAAATTAGTAAAACACAGAATCATGATACCACAAAATGAAAAGGCAGAGAACACGAATTGAAGAAAAGCTCATCTTTGCACAGGAGCAAAAATAGTGTAAGTTGATACACAAATGTAATCATGTATGTAGCATAACATAATAATGCAAATCCAGAGAAACATTCCAGTAATGTTGCACAATTATAAGGTAGAAAGAAACACAGACTACAACAAAAACTCGCCAAATCCTACAATTAGCATGCATTGAAGCCGGTGCAAAATACTAGAGGACAGATTCCAGGGTTGAATGTTGTTAATTGTGATCAAAATTGCAAATAAATCTATAACAGAGCACTTAAATCTACACTTCGTCAGAGTAAAATCAATATACAGTTTATAAAACGCAGCCAAAATTTGAACTAAAGAGAATACAAAGTAACTAATGAAGTTAGGACAAACCTTAACGAAGTTTCCGAGAGTTTTAGTCGATCCTCTTGAAGATGTAAAGACGTCCTCAATCCCAGCGAACTGCAAGACCTTCTTGGGCACTCGAGCCGCCACAATCCCCGCACCTCGAGGCGCCGGAACCATCCGGACGGTGACGGATCCACACTTTCCGGTGACCTTACACGGCACTGTATGGGGCTTACCGATCTTGTTACCCCAGTACCCTCTTCTCACAGGGATCACAGACAACTTAGCCAAAATAATAGATCCACGAATCGCAGTGGCGACCTCCTTACTACACTTCACTCCCAAACCCACATGGCCATTACCATCTCCGACGACGACGAAGGCCTTGAATCGGGTTCTCTGTCCGGCGCGGGTCTGCTTCTGGACGGGCATAATCTTCATGACCTCGTCCTTGAGGCTGGGGCCAACGAGGGTGTCGACGATCTGATGCTCCTTAATGGGGAGAGAGTGGAGGTAGATCTGCTCCAAGGACTGGATTTTGCCCTCTTTTACGAGCCGCCCAAGCTTGGTGACTGGAACCCACTTTTCCTCTTCGTCGCGTCGTCCGGGCCGGCGGCGACCTCCGCGGCCGCGGTCACCACCGCGGCCTCTGCCGCCGAAGCCTCGTCCAAATCCGCCGCGCTCCGCCATGGCTAGGGTTTAGGAAGGAATGCTGCAGAAAATGTGAGGCGTTGGAGGAGAATTTGCAGAAATGGGAGGGATGAAATTATATGAGGAGAGTGAAGCTAGGGTTTCTGAGAGACAAGGGAGGCGGGTCGGGTAGATTTTGGTGGGCCAGCGTTTAATTTGGATCCGTTTAGGGTTCAGATTGTATCTATCATTTTTTAATAGTTTGAATTGAGGTATCCCGCTATTATATTTGTGAATTTGACTATTCGATTCGACTGAGAGAAGATTCGAAGTGAAGAATACTAATCAAGATGAGGCCAAAGGCAAGGATCAAATTAGCTTGTTTGGCCTACCCATTGAGCATACAACCAAGACGAGGTCGAGATGGCCAAGTCGCCCACTAAGGTCACGAGGTCGAGGTGGTCGAATTGCAACCCTACGACTAAGAGACCTTGGTGTTCTAACATTTCTCTAAATCACAAATGCATGTCATTAAGTCTTTGAGAATCTGGAAATCGTGGAACAAGTTATTCAAAGGTAACTTTAAGTAACTCCCTCTATAAATAAGAGGGTAATATTACGTATGAGGTATACGTCACACATAACCCTACTTCTAGCTACGCTCGAATTAACCTTTTGTCTGGCTTGCACATCAAGTGTGTTGAGCTAGCACCACACCAATGTGCAATGTTCATGTTATTTCGGTGTGCAGGAAATTGTTCAAAGCTCCGATTTTCAAAATCGATTCCTTTTTTACTTAGACCAAAATCCTTGATAAACAATTTTTTTATGGGAGATTGTAGGTTCAAATATTCTCATCATGTTTGAAAGGTAATATTCTTAAAAGAAAAACCTTTAACTTTTTAAATTGATTTAAAGCAACTTTTCCATTTGAATATAACTTATGACAGTGAACTATAAAAAATGGATGAGTTTTTAGACACATTTAAAATGACTTTGGTTAGCAAAAAAAAAAAAAAACCATATTTCGAGCGCGAGGTTTTAGTTGAAATGACATCATTTAAGTGGAAGCCATGCGTTACGAGGAAAGTTACATGTAAAAAAAATAATAATAAGTAATAACAACGACAATTTCATTACTATGAAAAACCAAAAAAATATCATTCGAGAGCAATATCTATTTATTATCTAAAAAATTTTTGCTTCTTCCAAATCTTGGTGAGATGAGAAATAATGTTATACTCTAACGTCAACTTTTTTTTAGTACAACATGTTAGGGAAAAAATTCGAACCTATAACCTCTTGGTTGAGGTATATGCCAACACTTTGACTACTCTAACCTCAACTCTATTTTCTAAACGTGACTAAGATCCTTTAATTATTTATAATTTTTTATACTATTTAGCGCCATATAATATACTTTGCCTTCATTTTAATGAGAAAGCTCACTAATAGGTTATTTTGACATTATTATTATAAGTTAAGGGTTAAATTAAACTTTTAAATAATAGGGCGTAATTGAAACTTTTTTTCACTGCCCACTGCATGTGCTACATATAACTTCTATAATTATAATCAAGGTTTTAAATGTCGATGTCGACGGAAACGTCGAGGTCTCAATTTCATTGAAATGTTGATGAAAATATCAATAAAATGTTGATATTCATAGATATTTTTGTAAAAGTTAGAAAAATTAAAAAATCGTAAAAAAATATATAAATTAACAGATAAACATTTTTCTATTTCTAAATTAATTAAAAATAATTAATATAAATATTATTTATATATTGTTGATATTTGTCATATTTTGTCGATTTTGTTGTACTATGATGGAAATGTCAACTTACCCTTTTATGTTGATGTTGAACCCATGAAAATATAGATATGTCGATGAAAATATCGACGGATATTTAGAACCATGGGTATAACTCACCGCCATATATTCATCATCGTTTTGAAAAGGAAGCTAACCAGCTTCTATGAACCATCGTGGAGGTATAATTTAACCAATTTTTTTCTAAACGACCTCATCAGGCAACTAATAATTTCCTTTTTTCATTGTAATTTCTTGCACCCTAAGTACCCCACATAATTGGTCATCGGTCATCGGTCATCGTAGAGTTAATTTTTTACTACTTTAAGTTCTCATTTATTAATTATAACAAATGTTTGTGTATGTATTATGATAAAGGATGATATTATGTTACATGAGGTTATAGTTGGAAATTTCCTTTTTTTTTTTTTTAACTTATAGTCTTTCAATAGTTTCCATGAAGTTCTTTAATCTCTAAAGTCCATATAGAAATAATAAAAATTAAAAAATTAAAAAAATAGCTACGTAGAAAGTTTATACCACATAAAAAAAAAAGGAATTTATTTTTTTGGTCCCATTTGTTTCTTTTAATACAAACTTTGAAAATTTATTAAATTCTTAAAAAGTTTGAAAAGTCGTAGGTTGCCCATGACTAATTCAATTCTTATAGATGAAAGAAAAATGGCTTTGATAGATTGGGTCTTATTCTAGTTTGGCACTTGATATGTTTTACTTTGAACTTCTAAATTGCTTTACATAAAAAACAATTTTAATCTACAACCCTAACATATAATTTCGAAATTTTATTAAATGATAAATAGAAAATTGATGATAATGGTCAAAATAGTTTTTTAAATAATATATAATAAATCGAAGAACAAAATTCCCGACGTATAAACCATAAAAGAAAAGTCACACATATTTAATCACTTAAATTATAGCTAAGTTAGCTAACGAAAATAGTAATCAACTTGAACCTAATTCAACCATTAATACACGTCTGAACATTTAATTTGAAGTATAGAGCCTCTTGAAAGATTTGAAACCAAAACAAAAGGCACAAAAGTTCAAGACTATATCAAATCAAAATAAGACAAATTTATTTATTTTAGTTCAATAATCGTACGTTGGATAATTGAATTGTCTTATTCACTAGAATTATGTTCCTATTATAAAGACAAACTTATTTGTAAACTTCTCAAAGAAAAAAAAATTATGATCCTCACTGTCCCTAAATATAAAAAATTATATTAACCAAACGGTTCCTAATGGAATAGAAATGACAAAAAACCTCTAAGTATTTCATCCAATTGGATGGGAGAATTCCTGATTTGACAAGTAGTATGAAGTCAAAGCGAGAATTTATTCGAGTCCTAGTCCAGCATGGGAATTAAAAGTCGAAAAAAACTTGGCCCATAGTTAAGAGGAACTTCCTCGTTAACACCATTGAATATTTGACAACTAAAAGAAAGAAATGCAATTGGAGATTGGGAATGCATCCGGATTCCGTTCCGTCTAGCTGTGATCCCTAGCAAAGAATGAGTCAGCAAGTTTGTAGGGACAACTCGCGCCAATAAAACAAAATATTGATGAGAGAGAAAAATATATAAATCAAAAGAGAAAAAACAGATAGAAAGAGGGAGAGGAGAAGAAGCTTAGTCTCCTACTTTCATGGAAAATTCCCAAACTTCTTCGTCTCCCATGGAAGATCAACCGCCAAAGAAAACACCCACCATTGAAAAATCTAATTATTTCCGCAATCAACATTCTCTCCTTCCCTCTCCCTCTCCATCTCTCTCTCTCTCTGATGTCATTCTCCTTCACAACACGTTCTTGACTTCGTTAATGTTCAAAGGAAGTCCATGGGATCAATCGTCAATTGGGGGATTCTTTATTCGATTACCGATTCCGATCACCAAAATAAGATACATGGAAATCGTCTCTCGGCCCCGCCATAAATCCGTTGCTTTCTGTGAGGTTCTGCATTCTCACTTTTTGACCAGAAAAACTCTCACGTTCTATCCATTTCCCGCTTCGTTGGCTAAGAAAACAGGTACCCATTTATGGTTTTTCCAGTTTTCTTTTGAAATTTTATCATGTTTGGGTCTTGCTTTTGTGTTTTACTATGATTATGGTGTTTGAATGTCTCTCTGCGATCTAAATGACATTGAAAGGTAGAAGAGGATACAGCTTTCTTTTGGCTGCATTTTGATTCTAGAGTCTCAAACTTTATAATTCTTTTCATTTTCTATGATGTTCTTTTTTTTTTCTTTTGGTATGTAGTCATGGTGTTTGATAAAAGGTGGCCATCTTAGTTTTTAATAGAGCGTTTAAAAGAGATTTGATGTGTTTCTTAAAAAAGGATGGCATACTGCCCGTGTGACCTTTTTTTTGTTTGGTTGTCTACTTCCCTCGGCCTAGCACGAGCATGTCACATCATCATTTAATCTATAGTATTAATGTTAGGACTACATAGATGGTATGTTGCCCGTGTCACTATTTTTATGTTTGTTTCCCTACTTTCTTTTGCTTGGCACATGCGTGTCAGATCATCATTCCATTATAGTGGTATGTTGCCTGAGTCACATTTTCTATGTTCGGTTGTCTAATTTTTTTGGCATTGGCATGTCATCATCATTTAATCTATAGTAAGACTACATAGAATTACAATTTAAAGCTCCAATGAAACTTTTTAAAGATTAGGAACTAAATGATGAGAACTACGACTAAATTTATAATTTAGCTTATATATATGTGCGTGCGCACGCACGTTTTCTAATATTATATTAATGGTTTTTGATAGAAGCCATGCTTTGGCCTTTTCGTTCTTTCATATAACATAACTTTACTGTACCATTCTAATTTTTGGATTTTTCCTGCTATAGGAGCATATTATTCTTGTAAGTTAGTGAATAATTTATATGCTTGATGCCACTCCCAAGCAGTTTTCAACCATGAATCCAATATTAGAAGATTATGGAAGAGCAGCTGTAGACAAGAATGGTGAGATTTTTGTCAACAGTTCTCCATTTTTTTTGTTTTATTTATTTTTTTTAATATCCTTGAGTGTCGGGCCAACTAACAGTTCTCTATTTTCATGTCTTCTCAAAGACAAAAAACAAACTTTCAATACATACACACACAAAGTAAACAAACAAACTTTTTCAATTCTCTTACAACATTATCCTGCAGCCAAGCAAAGAGTGATTTTGGCTGAGTGGTTGAGGAGTTTTTTCCCTGGTCTAAATTTGCCAATCAATGCTTCTGATGAGGACCTCAAAGCATGCTTGTTGGATGCCAACGTCTTGTCTCAAATACTGAACAAGCTAAAAAAAAAACCTAGTTCTGGAAAAGAGGTATTGTCATATTGGTTTTGTCTTTGTTCCACAATTTGTGGTTCTTTTCAAGTCTTTTTTGTCATATCATACTGTTCACTGTTATGAGCATCAGTTTTCTGACTCTAGGGAGGTTATGTGATCCATAATTTGGCTTCACGGTCAGAGAAGATCACGAAGTTCCTTGCAGCTATAGCCAACATGGGGATACTGAAGATTGATTTTACGGACACTGAAAATGTAATGTGTCAGGTTTTAGAAAGTATCCTCATAATTTGATTTCATAGATCATCAGAGTTCTATTACATATACTTTTAGATATATGTTTATGTGAAAATATTATATAAATAACCAAAATATTTGCTTAGTTCTCTCCTTCATATGCATATATCTTTCTCTTCTTTCTTGATCTCACTCTTTTTCATTTTTGCTATCATTAAATTGCAGGGATCTATGGACTCTCTTTACAGCTGTCTATGGGCAATTAGAGCACAGTTCATGATGAACGATGTGGGAGTTAAGCTTTTGGCCTGTAACTCACCTTCTAAGTCAGAAAAATCTCGTTTCGACGCACTCTTACATGACCCTGGTTCTCCAATGTTGGGAGAAGATAAGAGGAGAGTCTTATTTGAGTCGAAATTTCAACGTACTTTGAGTAGTCCTATTATGTCAGGTTTGGTTTTTGCAAACATCAACTACGCACTCAAACCATATGTAAATGTAGAAGAATTCTGTTGGTCTCTCAATGAAAATTTCTGCTCAAATGGATATTACTGGTTTATACAATATACATTATGAAACCTTGAAAATTTTAAAGAAAAGCGATTAAAGTTTTTAATACAAAGGAAATTAACTGAAGAAGATTTATTAAAATATAAACAGAAATAAGAAGTCATGTTTTACTCGGTTCAATCAAAAGTTTCTGAATGTTTGGTTTAGTACAAACGCTTTGTTCTTGAAGACAATTTTTAATCTACAGAACCATTGGGTGCATCAAATCACCATGTTGGCCATAAGTTCCATGAAGTGTTTCAGCTAAAACAAGGTCGTTATGCCGATCTTCCGGCTGCAAAAATTTCAGAAATGATGAAATCAAATAGTCTAGACGTAAGTTCTTCTGATCCCTCCACCCCCACCCCAGGATTTCGTGTCTGAAAGCTTCATATATGCTTCAGTTTGTTTATAGTCTTTCTGTGACGTATATTGTTTATTTAACTTTGATGCACTTCAGCATCTCTTGTTGCAGAATGCTCCAACTCAGTCACTTTTGAGCGTTGTGAATGGAATTCTCGATGAAAGTTCGGATAAAAAGAATGGTGAAATTCCTCATGTATGGCCATGTAAATACTTTATTGTATAAAATGTATTGTATATCAAAGGACTTGACTGTTTGCTCTCTAACATTATATTTATTTTTCCCTTTCGTTTGGTAGCGTGTGGCGTGCCTGTTAAGAAAAGTAGTTCAAGAGATTGAGCGGCGTATTTCTACTCAAGCGGAACATCTTCGGACTGTAATGTTCTATGTATTTTTAAGCCATTGTTTTTTCCCTTTGAATTATGTTTTGAAATTCCATGTCATGGTTTTCTTTGTCCAGCAAAACAATCTTTTCAAGGCTCGTGAAGAGAAATACCAGTCTCGAATAAGTGTGCTTGAGGCACTTGCATCAAACATCAATGAAGAAAATCAGGTTTCCTTTTTTATTTTTAAATTAAAAGAATAGAAGTTTGATTAATATTTGAAAGTTGACACCATCATGATGATTCTCATATTATCGCCTGGCGTTTTACTTGTCTCCAGAGTTATATTGGCCAGCTTCAACAACCAAAGGTTTTGCTCAAGGACTCTTTCTCTCTCTCTCGACCTCTTTGTCCTTTCATTTATTCATTTTAAATTTAAAATGTGTCGGCCAACAATCATCTGTTAGCAGCACTACATTTGATCATGCTGAAAATCTACAATTTCTTACTTCGATCTGCCTTTTGCTGCTAGTACTTTCTTAACTTCTTAAGCAATAAACCAGATTCTTTTATGAGTGTTTTGTACTTGTGGAAACTTTCACCAGCAGTATGATTTTGAAATTGCAGCAAGCGGAGAAGACTAAAGCAGAAGAGAAGAATAATTTTGCTGATGAGGAAGTGACTAGGTTGGTTAAAGAAAGAGACGAAAGCAAAGAAAAGATCACAATGTTGAAGCAAGAGTTAGAAATATCTAAGAAGATGTATGAATTGCGTTGCTTGCAAGTGGAAACAGAAAGAGGTGAGGATGCGACTAGGTTGATTAAAGAAAGAGATGAATGTAAAGCAGAGATCACAACGTTGAAGCAAGATTTGGAAATGGCTAAGAAGTTGTATGAATCCCGTTGCTTGCAAGTGGAAACAGAAAGCGGTGAGGATCTGAGTAGGTTGATTAAAGAAAGAGATGAAAGCAAAGTTGAGATCAAGATGTTGAAAGAAGAGTTGGAAAGAGCTGAGAAGACGAATGAATTGCGTTGCTTGCAACTGGAGACGAAAAGAGTTGAGGATGTCACTAGGTTGACTAAAGAGAGAGATGAAAATAAAGCAGAGATGACGAAGTTGAAGCAAGAGTTGGAAACAGCTAAGAAGATCTATGAATCACGTTGCTTGCAAGTGGAAATGGAAAAAGGTGAGGATTTAACTAGGCTGATTGAAGAAAGAGATGAAATCAAACTAGAGATGACAATGTTGCAGCAAGAGTTGGAAAGAACTAAGGAAACCTATGAATTGCGTTGCTTGCAATTGGAGAAGGAAAGTGGTGAGGGTGTGACTAGATTGATTAAAGAAAGAGATGAAATCAAACTAGAGATGAGAATGTTGCAGCAAGAGTTGGAAACGACTAAGAAGACCTATGAATTGCGTTGCTTGCAACTAGAAACAGAAGCAGAATCTGGTCGATTAATGCTGGAGGAAAGGATAAAAGAACTTAAGGATCTCTTGGAAGATTCAAGTAACGAAGTGCAAGAACTTACAACATCTTTTGAATCGAAACAAAAAAAATGGAATGCAAAAGTAAAAAGTTACAAGCGTATGATAGAATTTCAATGCAATCTACTACAGGTGTGATCGAAATAGCATTTTTTTCTTTTAGTTACTTTGACACATTATGATTCATGAAAGTAATTCTTGAACTGTTTAGGGCGTAAAATGCTCCTCCGAGTCTGTTAAACAAGAGGTTTTGCGAGTAAAGCTGGACTATTCAAATGAAGTTAACCAATTAGGTAGTGGGAATTTGTAAGAAAATTTTGGTACTATGTTATGTTAGTAATCAGTTCTTATATGAAGTCTTCCTTCTCCAGGGCTCAAGCTAAAATCAATAGCACATGCAGCTGGGAACTATCATGTGCTGCTGGCTGAAAATAGAAAGTTGTTCAATGAGCTTCAGGATTTAAAAGGTGAAACTCGTACATCGAATTCCAATATGTTCACTATCAGTTTTTTTTTTTTTTTTTGGTATCACTAAACTTTTCCTTTCCTTCAGGAAACATCAGAGTGTATTGTCGAATAAGGCCATTTTTGGCAGGGCAGAAAGACAAACGGATGACCATAGAACATGTTGGTGAAAATGGAGAAGTGGTAATAGCAAACCCCACCAAGCCTGGGAAAGAAGGTCATAGGTTGTTCAAGTTTAACAAGGTGTACAGCCCAGTTTCAACTCAAGGTCTCTTTCTTTTCATTTTATCATATGGCCTTGTAAATGTAGGATGGCTTTTGTATCTAATTTTCGAGCGGCAGATGTACCTTTGCAATTCCTAACTATCGTATCGTCTTTATTAAGTGCAGCGGAGGTATTTACTGATATCCAACCATTGATACGATCTGTACTTGACGGATATAATGTATGCATATTTGCCTATGGCCAAACTGGTTCAGGAAAGACCCATACAATGGTATGCTTCCTCCGTATGTTTTAATAATACAAACACGTTTGTTGCCAATGAAATCTAATGCATTGTTTCCTTTCAGACTGGTCCTACTGGTGCTTCTAAAGAGAATTGGGGAGTTAATTATCGAGCGCTTAACGACCTTTTTGAAATCTCTCAAAATAGAAGTGGTGCCATTTCCTATGAAGTTGGGGCACAAATGGTTGAAATTTATAATGAACAAGTTCGGGATTTACTTTCAAATAGCGCTTCTCAGAAGAAATATCCTTTCAGTTATACGGTCATTGAGTATAATATTAACACCAAATTGATACTAAATTGAAGTCATTTCCCTTTTAAGCACTTGAACCACTCTAACCTTTTATCATACTACACACATTCTTAACATTTTCTATTTATTATAGTTTCAACTTTTTTATCTCTTATTTTACTTAACTCTCACACACTGGGGATTTTGACTCATTCGCAACCCTTCGGACTTGCGGTACCGGATGCTACCATGTTTCCAGTGAACGCAACTTCAGATGTTATAGAAGTAATGGACATTGGACTGAAAAACAGAGCAGTTGGTGCAACTGCCATGAATGAAAGAAGTAGCCGATCACATAGGTTTGTATGCTTTACTATACTCTCAAATGCTCCTTTATATTCTTCCTTTCTTATTTTTCATGTAAACCTACAGTATTGTGACTATTCACGTTCGTGGGACGGATTTGAAGGATGGTTCCTCACTGCATGGTAATCTTCATTTGGTAGATCTTGCTGGAAGTGAGCGGGTCGATCGCTCTGAAGTTACAGGAGATAGACTCAAAGAAGCACAACATATAAACAAATCACTGTCTGCACTTGGAGATGTCATTTTTGCTCTTGCACAAAAGAGCTCTCATGTTCCATATAGAAATAGCAAGCTCACTCAAGTTCTTCAAAGCTCTCTTGGTATTACTATTTCCTAGTTGTTAGTATGGATTTGATTCTCATTTTGCTAACATAACTCCTAAATAAGTACAAATTTGGATTCTATGCTGTAGGTGGTCAAGCAAAGACAGTCATGTTTGTACAGCTTAATCCCGATGTGAACTCATATTCCGAATCTCTGAGCACACTAAAGTTTGCAGAAAGAGTTTCTGGAATCGAGCTGGGAGCAGCACGGAGTAGCAAGGAAGGAACTGGAAGGGATGTTAAGGAGCTAATGGACCAGGTGAGTGATAGGAACCCGGTTTCGCAATGGAAATTGATTGGAAGATAGTATTAAAATGATAAAAAGGAAAATACAATACTCAAGCACTTCAAGAGACCTGGACTTCAAAAATAACTAGTCTCCCAAATTCTGCTTGCCCCTCACCCATCTCACCTTCTCTATTTACTCTTTATTAACAAACTCTCTTAATTAATGTGTAACGCCAATTAGCCCTCTTACTATTTCGGTATTTCCCTACTAATATTCCACAGCGAGCATGTCTCTTCTTGATTTGCAATTTCCATTGGAATCATTTGTATAAAAAATCAGAACATTGTGTTCCTGTCTCAGGTGGCATCTCTGAAGGACACTATTAGCAAAAGGGACGACGAGATTGAGAGGCTACAACTACTCAAGGACCTCAAGAACAATGTGTACAACGGTATCAACACCGAGAACCGCAACGCAACTTCTCCTAACAAAGATGTGAATGGCAGAGTGCCTAGAGTTCAGAAGCCTTCAAGCAGGAAGAGTACAGGAGGAGCCGTGGAGAAAGCTGGTTTTGATCACGACAACATATCTGACCATAGCAATATACATTCAGAAGCCAACTCGCCGCAATCGATGGAAGATGTGAAGCACCATAATGAAGTTATTCCGCAACAAGACATAGGTCAGAATATTATTGAAGATGCTGAGACCTTAGGATCTGCAGATGCAGATTATGAAGAAAGAATAATGGACATACCTGATGATGATCTTTCTGTTGGAACAGAAAATGCCGCAACTACAGAAAGTACGAATTTCACTCAAGCCACAAGACCAGCAGAGAAGTTGGAAAAGTGAGTTGATTCATTTTCCAAAAGCTTAGTTCTTGGTGCGTTTGATAATTGTTTTGGTTTTTTGCACTCTTTCGTAGATTCTTATACTGTTAAAATGGGGTTGAAAGAGTGAATCGTTTCGTTTTACAAAAACTTATATCAGGGTAGTTTGATAACAGTTTTGTTTTCGGTTTCCTCTCTTAAAAATCCTAAATCATTATAGAACTTGAAAAAGTAAATCGTTTCGTTTTTCAAAACCTTAGCTCACGGTCCGTCTTAACGGTTTTTCCGTTTCCTTTCTTTAAACCAACTCCATGATTTGCAGGCCCAGATCTGCATCCACTCTTTCTAGGACCTTGCACAAACATGCACAAACTGCATCAACTACACTACCAGGATCAAAGGAGTCTTCAAGGTTATCATCAACAAGTATGTAAGAGTTCAAATTTTTATATTGTTTTTTCTTTTCTTTATCAAGTTAATTTACCCTCATTCCTTTTGTTTAGGAAATTAAAATAAGCTTCCTCTTCTAATAGAAGAGGGAAGGATAGTTTCATGATTTATTCTTTTCCCTGATATAGTGTTTATATTTCATTAGTATTGATTTGAATCGTAGTCGTGAAACAAGACATAAAATGATGGATGAAAGAACAAAAGGTTTAAATTCCATTTTGGTTTGTTAATGCTTCTTCTTTTTGTCCCTCTTTTTGTCCCTGACCTTTCAACCTTACGTGAATATTGCATATGTTGTTTTAAAACTTATCGTTAATTTTATTGTAAAATATTTAACAAATACCTGACATAACATATTTATTTATTTATATGGTGAGTAGATATTCACGTTAGAACTATATTTTAAGGCGTATGTTGTGGGACAAGTATCTAAGTTCCAAATGGTTAATCCACGATTAACGAACAAGTAGTTTAGGGACTGAATTTTTTTTCCCTCATTTTTAGACGTAATGTAATTCTTATTTCCTTATTGCCTTTAAACTTAACATCAATTAAGCTGATGCTTTGTTACAGGTATTAGAAAAACTGTAACAGGACTCAAGTCTGGTAGAAGATGGGCGTAGTTTGAGAGGGAACCAAATCGATTCTTTTATTTTATTTTTATTTTATGTTTTCCACACTTTGTTTTCAATCTTCATTGAAAAATAATAGGTTAGGAAATCAATTACCATGAAGTTGTATATAATTAAAGAGCCTCTATTTGTAGTCCTTAAATTGGAATGACAAATTTGTATAAAAGTACATATTAAATAAAGATGTGTGTCCTTAGTTGTGATTGTAGGTTGTAACTCACCGTCAATTGGACGTACTCAAAAATTAATAATAAGTATTGATACGAGTCTATACGATGCATATTTGGTGAACACGATGTGTTCACTTGATTACTTAGTGGGCACACATGAGCTAACTTATATAAGCTAGTCTATGAAACTTGATACGAGCTATAACTAACATAAATTTTAACACTAATGACTCCATGCGTGTGTCTATTGCATCGAAATTTTCCGATAAATCAAGGATGAACCAACACGTAGTTGCAATCTCGGGGTAGACATTGTAATTACATCACAAAAGGAGAATTCTCTTGGAACTGCATTTTCAAAATAAAGTTTTGCATATCATCTTACTAATAGAAAAAATAAAGGAGTATTATTAGATGGAGTTAACTTGTGTTTGACATGCCTTTTTAAGGTGCTCATAGATGATTAAAAAGCTATTTTTTTCTTTCATAAAAATTAATAGTAAATTAAAAGCACTTTTTAAAATTATTGATAATAAAATTAATTTGAGATATTAAGAAAACATATAAATAGTAACACTCAAAAACACTTTTAAAAGAAGCATTCAAATAGTTTTTTTCCAAGAGCGCTTCACTTAAAAACAATTTTTTCTAAAGACATCTCAAATGAGAAGAAAAAAGTAAGTAATCCAGATAGAAATCGTGCCAATAATAACTAACCTTTCTTAATTGTAGCAACATTTTATGACATTTTCCTTCGCTCTTCAAACACATGTACTTGTATCGTGAGAAGCTTGACCCGATTGACATACTATAAAATAGGTCCTCAAGTTTAAACCCGATCTTCAAGATGTTACACCCTTTTGAACATATACTAGTTTGTCATTTTTAATGTGAGCATTTTCCTTCTTACCATGTTCAAAACAATCAAGTCATTATCACAAACCTAATTTCCCCAACCATTGGAACACGTGTTCTTGCACTTTACCACTTAGTGAGGTCCACGTGTCAACTTCCACCTCCACAGCCACGTACTTCCATTACAGTCCAATTATCCACGTGCCAAATCCCGATTGGTCCATGAAAACTATCTCCGCGTAATAGCACAAAACTGTACCAAATCTACAAAATAACTATATTTTTGTCGTCTTCTTGCTTACTTTTTATCTGTCACAAAAAAAAATATATTAAAATTATATTATATTTTAAACTCCAACGCCACGTGTGCCGTGTCCATCACGTAACCAAGCTAAACTCATTTTTTTCACCGTACACGTGGCGCTTAGTGGTAATCCAACATCAGCCCTTGCATGGAAGTAACCCTCGTTGCTTCCGTTGTGGGCCCATCTCCTATCATTCTCTGCCACGTTTTTTATTACTTAGAAACTTCGTTGTCCTTTCTTGACACGTGTTGAGATATGAATGGTTAGTTGTCACTAGCTTAGAATTGGTGGGCTCCAGGTCATCATCCAGCCGACACTAAAAGGAGACTTATTATTATTAAAAACAAAATTCTAAATTTGATTTAGTCCAAGTATATATATATTATTGGTCTTTACATTCGTAAAGTTTTTATTTTATATTCAATTTATCAAAATTATTCACTAAGTAAGATTATTGAAGTTGAATAATAAAATAGTGATGCGGCAACCATCCCCCCTTATGAAAATTTGTAGTTCTACAAATAAAGCCCGTTTGATTTTTTTTTCAATTTATGTACTCGCAATTCTTTAGACAAATTTTAAAAATAAAAAATAAATTTCGAAAATGTTTTGAAGAAGTAGATGTTAAACAAATAAATAGGTGAAAGTAGTACATACAAGTTTAATTTTCAAAAACAAAAAACCAAAAATAAAATGCTTAATTAAATGGAGCCTAAACGTCCAACTCTTTTTATTTATTCATTTTTAGTAATTAGGTTGAGTGAGATGTTTTTTTTTTCAAGAGGATTGATCAGGCATCTTTATGAGATATAGGGTTAGATAAATATTTAACGTTGAAAAAGTAAATTCGTAGAAAATAACAATTTTTATTTATGTAAAAACACACTTTTACTATTCAATTTCAATAATGTCAAGTTAATTTGACAACTAAATGTAGCAGAGTCAGACAAGTGTTCTAGTACACACAGGTTGTATAGGATATTTTGATTAAAATTTTTAGAACAGATGATATATTTAGCTAAAAAGAAATTATTCAATAAAATTGGAGATGATAAACTTTTGAGTTTTGCACAGAGACCCTTTATCTTTCAATTAATTAAAGTTTTGCCCAATGAAAAAGAAAAAGGGTATGTTTTCAAATTAGTTCACATAGTGTGGAAAGCATTTTAAGTTTTTAAGTTTGTGTACTAATGGGACAAATGTCTCATTATGGTTATTATTTTATTTATTAGTATTAGAAGTTTGTAATAATTCACTATATCAGCTAGCTGACCCACAAGAAGATAATTTCAAAATAATTTTTTTTCTGTATAAATTATTTAATCCAATTAAATAATATCCGTGCGAGATGTCAGACCSAATMCAATTCATCTTCGTCCGATCTGAACGAATCTTGTTGAGTGAATTGATCCATTGTTGTATGTCCTACTTCTTAGTGAATTTTTTCCTACTTACACCCATCGTACTTCGCATTGAGGATTTATGAGATATAGTGGAAACATTGTGTTATGGTGGAGAGTGGGAAGTGAACATCAATGCAAAGAGAATGACTGCATGTATCGGAATCCACAATAAGAAAGACAAAGGATCTAGAAATTAAAGAAAGACTCTACATTCTCCAAGTGATTGATCTTAGCATGCTAGCCGCAACTTCATTTTGTATAGTGATAATGCCTTCTCTTTTTTAGCTCTCTACACCTTTCATCGACATTTATATCGACATCCACGTTTAAAATCATGACTAGCATTTCTGCATTATAATTATTTATTTTGATAATGTTGATGGATAAATCTATTACATTGACAAATTAGGGTTTCAGCATCCCAAAAAAGAAAACAGAAGGTTTATCTAGTTAAATTAATTAGCTAAGGGAGATACCATTTTGCTTATTCTCTGTGCTACATCATTTGTTTTTTTTTGCTTTTTATGATCATGGATAATTCTATTATCTTATGCATAGTTTTTCAAAAATTAACTTTGAACTTTCAAATTTTACCTTTGTATACTACTTTCTTCTTACCTTTATAAATGATGAATGTACATGTTATTCGATTTAAAAAAATTAAAAATACACTTTATTCACCTCGTCATATATAAGTATTTAAGGCTATGTTGTAAAACCAAAAAACTTGGACTAATATAAGAGCTCAACGGTAATTGACATCCACTTATTCTTTTGAAATCGAAAATTCAAACTCGCATGCCCAATTTGTTGTACAAATTAAAAAAACCAAAAAACTTTCTCTGTTGGTAACAAAGTCTTAGAAAATAGAAAATAATTGTTTGATCAGAAAAATGATCCCCTGCGAACGTCGGATCGGTGAGGATGAACTAGATAGTGAGCTCTAGATGCCACGCAGAAGACTTGCAAAACAAAGTGAGCACTCCGATTCTAAAGTCGAAAAAAGTTCAAATCAACTCGAGAGAGAGAATTGAGTTGTTAGCGTACCTTAAAATAGAGCGGAATGGTTCTATTTATAGGTGGAAGTCCCCGACAGTGTTCTCGACAAGACCTCAACGACTCTTTAAGGTTACCGTGAAACGCGGCGTGATGTCGTGGAGTGCGTCGAAGATGGTACCGAGCTTAGGTACGCTAATCGGTTCATCCAGTGATATGGGAACAAGATTATGAACAGGCTTGTTCGGTTCGGCCACCAAAAGGGTTCGACTCATGTACGCAGTACTTGCGTTACTAATTTCCAAAAGACTCAGTCAATGCTAAAATCTACCCCCAACAATAATTATCTTCCAAAATAATATCTTTCTCCTGGTTTTTGAATTTAGCTTAGCATTGCACAGTCGAGTTCAAGTTAACTTTTTTATTCTTTCAAATTCATTACGGGTGGTTCATTGATCCAAAGAGACTTATAATAAATTGAGAAAGAATTATTTCAAACCTCATGATGATCGTCTGCCTAACTATATTTCAAAAATCATATCAACCATTATTTAATATTTTGAACGAGTTGAGTTGAGAGAGAGAAACAAATTAATTAACATAAATAAAATAATTATATATTTTCTTTGAATTGTCTTCCACGTACGCAATACATTTTGTGGCTTTCCAATTCCCAATTTCAAATCAAACGAATAGTGAGTTCCCTTTGGCCTTTGGAATTATTCTCAAAAGGATTTCTCTCTCTTTCCCCTTTCTTCACTCAAGCTTCCATAACTTCGAATTAAACACTCTCCAACTCCGCCATGTTCACCGATCAATCACCGCCGCCAGCCACCGGAACCAGCCACGGCGGAGACGCTACTAATCGGATCGAGGAGGATCAAATTCGCGAAATCCACGCTCTGACCTCGCCTCGACCACCACCGGCGCCGGCGAATCGGAATCGCCGCGGAGAGGCCTGGGAAACGGCCAGCGAAGGCGCCTCCAGCGAGAACTTCACCTCCATGAGTAGAGAGTTCAATGCTCTGGTGATTGCCGGCGCGGAGATCGGTAGCGATTATGGACAGGACCGGCAGATTAACGAAGCTCCGAATCATTTGAGCCGAATCGGAGAGGACGATATGCCGGAGGAGGAGACGAATCCGTTGGCGATCGTACCGGATGGCCATCCGTTCGATGATCAATCGGCGCCGCCGACGATCGCGAGACAAGAGAACGCCGCCGCTGCAATCGGCGGCGGCGCGGCGGCGACGAGGGAGATATCGTTGCAGATGGTGAAGAAGGAGGAGGTGGAGACGAAGATAAGCGCGTGGCAGAACGCGAAGGTTGCAAAGATCAACAATCGGTTCAAGAGAGAAGATGCAGTGATCAGCGGATGGGAGAGGGAGCAGGTTCAGAAGGCATCTTCATGGATGAAGAAGGTCGAGGTACGTGAATTAAAGAGAGACTAAAAATGGCGATTTCTGCATGTAATCTGTTTGAAGAAATGCGCCATATTAATTGATCGATTAGTTAATACTTAATATTAATTCCTCTGTTTTCAACCACTTTTCTTTCTGGTCATCATGATCACTTTGGACTGTTTGTGAAAAAAAATTACCTACTGTGACTAAAAAGTCAATTCAATTATACTCTTTTGCATGAAACATGTGATGAGATACTCTTAAATCTCATCTCATCACTTTTTTCCACTCACAATTTTCTATTCGCTTCATTCTAAGTCTTCAAACTTCGAATATTCTGTCTTTTTCTATCAAGTTCCAAACATTTCTAATTCAACATGAAATTTTAATCTGTTTTGGGATCTGATATATAATCTTTCACATGAAACATCAAACACATGTCTATATACCAATCATGAATGAGGTAAATTACCAAATGAAGTATGGTGTTAGGTACTTCTTTGTGAAAAATACTGGTTCTCTGTTTTTTTTATTTCTCTCTTAGTTGTCAAACATTCAGGGGTGGTCAGAACCATATAGGTTCTTACGAGTTACGGGTGAGAAACCAAGTATTTTTCCTTCTTTGTCCATATTCAAGTATTTCCTACTTGACTGTTGAAGTTATTCTCTGTTTTGTATTTCTCTCTTAATTGTCATATAACCGATGGTGTTAAGGATCATATAGGTACGAGTGAGGAGTCAAGTATTTTCGCTTCTTTGTTCAGTAATTTATTAGAAAATGAATGTCGATGAGGAAAGAAAATGAAGTTAGATTATTATACAAATGCAGAGGAAGTTGGAAGAGAAGAGGGCAAAAGCACTAGAAAAGATGGAGAATGAGGTAGCAAAAGCACATAGAAAAGCAGAGGAGAGAAGGGCATCAGCAGAGGCCAAGAGAGGAACAAAAGTGGCCAAAGTCATTGAAATATCAAACTTGATGAGAGCTGTTGGAAGGCCACCAGCCAAGCGCTCCTTCTTCTAAATTTCTTCCTAAAAATCCCAATGGGGGAAAAAAAAAGAAACCCTCCAAAAAGAGCTGGATCTTTTTTAATTACTTTTGGAACAAATGAAATTTATGTATATATTACACATCTCTTTCCCAATATCTCAACTTGTTTTAGGGTAAGAACTTGTAAGAAATGGGCAATGAGTGCTGTTTCTTAAGTTGTTTGTTTTTGTTTTTTTTGTTTTTTTTTTTTTTGACTTGTTTTGCAAAGTGTTTTTTGTGATTTCTTGAGAATTGGATTTCCTTTTTCTTATTACCAAATAAATGGCTTAACGAAATATTGTTAATATTGGGTTAAATAATATGTGATTTCTAGTGATTTGTTTAAATAGTAAAGTGACTTATAGTCTATATGTATATGGAGAACAGGAGAATTTCATTTTTACCAATATGTGCCCTAATTTTAATATATATAAATTAAATTTTCAGTAATTTGGAATGCACCAATTTAACTCAAGTTCTAGGGTGGAAATTGAAATTTTCACTCAAGTTCTAGGTTGGAAATTGAAATTTTCACTCTCACATGTTGAACTTGATAAAATATATATATATATATATATATATATAACGTATATAAAGACAACAATAAATACTCATCGTAATAAATAAAAGAAGGATTGAAAGAGATTTCACGCCAAGATTTATAATATAGATCTTCAAATTGAGTGTTGAGTGCAATTGAAACTGTTTTCTATATGAGAAAACTAAAACTCAATACTTTAAAGTAGATCTATTTTCCATGTCAATTCAAGATAATTAATTGGAAAAAAAATAAAAGCATACTCGAATTCATAATTGAATGTAGATGGGTGGGATTTGATCTGCCAAATCTAGATAGATCACGAGTTGACTTTAAATTTCTTCAAATTCCTCTATAGTAGCATAATGTCTCTCTCGGAGGGATGGAGAAGGATGATCATAATGATGTATGTGATTTGAGTATCATAATCCCTCTATAACAAACAAAGTAAATTTACTTATACCAAAACTTACATATAAAGATTTGGATGGTTCCCAACCCCAATATGTAGTAATTTTTTTGTTACTCAATTGACCCAAGATTCAATGAGTTGGGAAATTTTTTTCTAGTAGTGTAATAGTACGAAAGAAAACTCCTAGTAGTATTTAAGAACAGTATCAAGTTTATAAAATAAAATAAACGTGCCAGACTTGTCTAATAGTGAATAGGAGTAAGTACTCTCGTAGTACGTACAACAGTCAAGTCAGACATCAAGCTATATAAAGATTGAGAAATGCTCCTAGAAAGAAGTAGGTGAAGGGATGTGAATCCCGGAGCGGAAACGGATTTTCGTTGCTGATTTTCAGGATACAAAATCGAATTTTAAAGAAGAAAAATACAGGGGAAACACAAACCTTTGAAGAACTTTTCTTCAGTGAATTCCCCTCGAACACCACCACCGGATCTTCCTCGCTATCCTCTTGGGTCTCGGGATCGTGTTTGTGGTAGCACCTTGATAGAAGAGAGGGAGAGATCGAGAGAATTTTTGAGAGAGATCTGGGAGTTTTTCTTTTCGCTTCAGTTCTGTAACACCCTCTGTCTAATTCTCCAACACTTGGAGAAGAAGAAGAAGGGTGACGTAGGGTAACTCCCCACGTCACAAAACCTCCCACTCCCCAATTAATTAGTATAATTCATTATTAATCCAATTAATAATTAATAAATATATATACATAAATAATTAACACTTAATTATTTATTATAAAATTAGAATCATATTCTAAAACATTTCTCTCGTATAACCTATAGTTTTAATGTAAATCTTATGCACATTATTTTTAACCTATAGTTTTAATATGAATCTTATTCATATTAATTTTATTTGAATCTCATTCAAATAATATCTCCCATAATATATAGTTTTAATTTACAATTAACTATATATATTATAATGTATCAATGTACATATAATCCCTTAAGTAATTTGAACAATTTAAATTCTTCCAAAAAATTTGATCCTCATTTTACCCATTATGAGCTAGCAAGGGGACCTAATGGACCTACAGATCCGAAGCTCCAACGGTGCAAGATTAATCGGTCAAACTCATTGACCGAGTTAATCTAGATTCGTTAACTACGGGTCATTCCACTAAAGACCTGCAGTTGCACTCTTCTCACTGTAGAATGTTTTCGTGTCCATGGATATACGACCATTAATGACGAGTCAATCCTTCACGAGTGTTCGTAACTCAAGCTGGGTCAAATTACCGTTTTACCCCTGAGTTACATCTTACTCCTTAAACACCACTGCTTCTCTAATGAACAACCCGGTTATGGTCCAACCAATAATCGAAAGTCTCTCTCGGCCAATGAGAGGGTGGGGCCCTTTGTTCAAATCCCGGAGTCAGCATTTAAGGGAACACTCACCTACTTCCCTAAAGTCGGGGAGGAGTGAATTCCATCTTGTGAAGTTATGTTCCCAGCTCCCCACTCGATCTCGTCCCCAAAATG